AAAAGACATTGAAACCAACCGAAGGATAATTTTCACTGAGTTTAAAAGCAGCGCCAAATGAACACCAGTCTCTTTGACGGTTTCTTCCCAGCCTGGGAGACCCTGAGGGATGGGCCAGCACTCTTGGTTCTCATGTGTGTGGGGGAAGGAGGGCTTGGGGCACTTTCCTACCTCCTGGGTGGTGGTCTTCCTGCCTCTTCTCCGGCTCTCCCCACTCCTGGCAGGTCCCACAGCCTCCTCTCCTGTCCAAGAGCACCTGTCCTCAGGAAGTAAATATCATGTTGCAAGAACCAATAAGACAAGAATCCCTGAGTTAAAAACATTTCAGCTTTTATGAACTCAAGACATTTTATTATGGAAGATTTCAAACATATACTGGAGGAGACAGAGGAGTGTGATGAATCGCTGTGTACCCATCACCAACATCACCAACTGCTGGCCAAGCTTGTCCAGTGACACCACCATCTGCCTCCCCACCTCCCATATAATACTGAAGTAAATCCTATATATCAGGGCATAACATTTCATCTGCCAGTATTTCAGTATTTATCTCTAAAAAAAGGGGGGGGGGCTCGTTAAACTTAGCCACACGGTCTTTAGGTCACCTAAAAACTAGCAATACCCCTTAAATGTTAACAGGATTCTGTGAGTGTTCACATTTCCAGAACATTTTTGAACTCTTTGCCTTTCTACTTTAAGAAGGAAAATTGGCCCTGAAATAAGAATTTCTCAGCATTTGGTCATATCCTTATAGTCTAGCTCCTAAAAGGACAGATCTCTGAATTTGGACAGAAATGCTTGGTTATTAAGTCTCTGAGGCTTGTGATCCCTGCGTAGGCTTGCTCCCCCTACCGCCCTTGGCCTGGCCGGTGCTGCGCACATAGGGGGTGCTAGGTAACTATGTGCTGGGGTTCATGGAAGGATGAACACATGCAAGGGTGGGGATGCAGCCGAGTTGAGCTAATGCGGGAGGACTGGAGCGCAGCCCCCTGCGTCCTCCCACCCACGCTGTGAGTGGCTGTCCTTGGCTCTCCGTGCAGTGCTCCACCCGCCAGCTGCCTGGGCCTCCTCTGGGACCCTCTCCTCTCTCTTGCTCGGGATACTTGACTGTGTTCCAGTGACTCCGTGGAACCCCACTTTGTGGGGCCTCCAGCCTCCTTCTTGGTCTTGCCAATTCGCTGCTGAACACACAGCAACAGTTGACTGGGGGTGCTTTTAGGGAGGGAGGGCTGCTCACATGTGCCAAGTGCCTTGCTCATCTGTTCTCGCGGCCGCAGGCCCAGGAGATGAGGGTTGCTCTCACGGCCATTTCATAGCGGAGGAGACTAGAGGAGGCAGGTAAGTCCCTTGCTTGCCTGGGCAGTGGCAGTGCCAGGATTTGACTGCGGTCAGCCTTGAACATGGGCTACTCTCCATTGGTTCCCAAATGTTAAGACTCGTTTGGCAAACTGCTTGGCAGCGTGGCCCAGGACCAGGCACTTAGCCTTTTGAGGACAAATCTCAACAGGTTGGGATCTTCAATCACCGTGCACTTTTCCCTGCAATGTTCACATCTTCCGGAACAGATATAGAATGACTTATTATTATACACACCCTTATTAGGAGATTAGCTCAGTTGAATGGAATAAATTTTAGGTCATTCAGCCTCTAATTTCCTGGTTTGTCTTTTTTCACGGTTAAATAATAGTTTGAGTCATAGATTATACGACTGTGGCAGGTTGGAAGGTGAGGAGGGAGGAGTAGAAATCGGGTTGAGTATCCAAGGCTACCACCTAGACGTGATCCCTGCTGTACGTTTGGCCACATCTTTCCATTTTTGATAGAAGAAAAATGTGACTTTTGGAATGTAGAGAACTGGGGTCAAGTATTTAAGAATTCTTGGGGACAAGGGCCGGTGTGGGCACTGTTTCCTTTGTCCCAGCCAATCAGAGCTCAGCTTGTGTGCCTTCCCCTTGGCTGAACTTTGGGGGAGCAGTTTTAGGTGGCCTGGGGAGGCTCAGAGTCCTGTCCACCGGCAGGCCTCCTCACCCGCTGCAGACGGCCTGCACATGCCAACGCGGGGCGCTAAACCAAACTCACATTTTTACTTCCTTTGCTTCTTGATTTTGCCTTGGTCTGGTTCAGCTGTCTCCCCCAGGCCTGCTGCCCTAGAGAAACGGACGAGTGGGCAGAGTGGGTGTGATTAAGTAAGGGAAATGAACGACCTGGGCAGACACAGACGAGAGACACTGGCTGACTCACAGAGGGAAAGAGGGGCAACAGAAGGCTGAAAGGCCCAGCTGACAAAGGGAGAGGAACCAGGGTCTTCTGCAAGTGTTCACGGGGTTTATGGATAGGAGGCATTGAAGGTGAACTTCAAGAAACTAAGCTGTTTGCCACCGCAGCAATGAGAAAACTGTAGCTATCTTTAGGTCCCAGTTGGGAATGCCTGGAAACAAATTTAAATCATCTAAGTTGTTTCCAAAAGTTGCATTTGCTGGGACCCCTCTGGCTCTGCACGGAGTTGGGTATGCCGGCTTCCAGGCACCCCTGCTGTGTCTGAGGGCTGGGTTAGCCTTGGTCCCCAGCAAGGTGGCTGGGAAAAGCCCGCCCTAGAAGATGAAAAGCGGATGGTACAGCTGCATCGCTCCCCAGCGCTTCCCCGTCACAGAGCTGCTCCTGCTCAGACCTCCCCGTGGGCCCTCCAGAGGGCACCATGATGGAAGCCACCAGACTCTGGGGCGAACTGGAATGGTTTTTGGCCTTGCCCCGGGAAGATGAGCTCTCCCCCTGAAAAAGACCAACGGTGGCGCTGAGCTGGGGAATTGTAGGAAAAACAAGGGCATGCAGGAAAGCTTGCTTTTCTAGGACTGTCCTCTGCTCAGTGTTAGAAGAGTCTGAAATCCACAAAATGCACTAAGACTCAGAACATTACTGAGTGTGGTTGGTTGAAGGTCAAAGCAGTTTTAAACTCATTGCTGCCTCTCTCCCTCCTGGGTATCTATTTTTTTTTTCCTGGTGTTGTTTCCTTTCACATTCTTCTCTTTCCAGAATATTTATAACTGCCCTCATCTTCTTTTTCATTCTCAATTCCCTTCCCCACCCGACTCTGCCTTCTTAGCATAATTTTTCTTTGGGCCTTCCTTGTTTTACATCTGGATTCCTGGATGGTTTATTTTGTCCGTTTCCTGAATTCCCCTCCTCTCCTGTTTCTTGTAGTTCTTCCTCTCCTTTTCCTTCAGCATCAGTTCCCTCCCCTCAAGCTTTCCTTGGGCCACACAGGCTTTTAGTCTTGCTCATCTGTTTCAGCAGAGTTGGCAAGAAGGAGGCCACAGCCGGCAGACAGAGCCGTAGTGGCAGAAGAGGACCTGAGCATCTGAAGATTTTCCCGCAGTGGTGTCTCTGGAAGAGGAGTCCCCTCCTGGGGTGGGGGGGCGCTGGGGGACAGGGCTCCTCTTCCCCCACCTCAAGGGCTCACATCAGCTGCCAGGCCGGGGCTGAGGGCCGGGGCAGATGGTGTTTCCTCCACGGTGTGTGGGCCTGGGCCCCACTGCTCAGGGAGGCGGTGGAATCCTTCCCTCTCTGAGTGCACAGGTGGGGGATTCACCAGCTTCCACCTTAAGGCCGGCGCTCAGGGGAGGTGCGTGCCCTGGGAATGTATTCCTCGCAAAGCTCTGTGCTGTGGGTGGGAGGACTTGCAGCCTTGGGGGCCTGCCTCCTGGGGGAGTCTGGGTGTCCTCTGAGAGTCGCTCTCTGGCTGAAGACCTGAGGCGGTTTCCAGGCAGGAGGCCCTTCCCTCCCAACACCCCCAGCCCAGCCAGCGGGTGTTGTTAGGGCACAAGGAGAATGCAAGTGGTGGCTGATCATTTCAAGGTGTCTTAAAGGCGGTTGGCCACTGAGGAGCAACACAGAGCCCACCTGTGGGAGGCCCTGAGGGTCAGCCCCATACTGATAGAAGCAGGTGGCACTTCTGGAAGGGTGCGGTGGCAGAGAAACCCTAGAAGTCGCAGCCGCGCCCCTCCTGTGTGGAGTGACGGGGGCGGGGGGAGAGGCGCGTCCTGGCTCTGCTCCCCAGCTGTCTGAGGCAGATCGACTGGAGTCCATCTGGCTGTCCCCCACCCTCCCCACCCCCCGACCCACGCCCGCCTCCCACCCTGGGACGTCGGTGCCACTGGGGCCTGGCTGAGCTCTGGGTGGGCCTAGATGAGGAGCGGCTGGGTCGATGCGCACCCGGGGCTGTGCTGCATCCCGGGGTACCGGGGCCCAAGAGCACCAGCTGGGTGTCCATCGGGCTGCTCCGTCTTCTCCTGGGCCCTGTGGTGATGGTGGCCGCGTGCTGCCCCGCAAGTGCCACCAAGGGCTCCTTCGCCTTCTCCATGCCTTGCTCGCCTGCCAGGTCCCCTCCGTTCCTCCTCATCGTCATCAATGTCCAACGTTCCTGCTACTTCAGAAAAATGGCCTTGATTATATAGAAGCTGGAGAAAGATCTTTGCTCATTTTATATTTTGCTTCTGTTTTCTAAGCCTTCAGCCCTAACTGAAGGGCTGAAGGCTTAGAAAACAGTCCAACTCTTGGGGTCCAGCATCCTTTCAGACTCTAGAACCAGAAGCCCCAGGAACCCACAAGTCCTCACTCGTGGGCCCTGTGGAACTGCCATGTCTCCAGTTGAAGGCAGAGCCTCCTTCCCTACAGAGAGGCCTATCCTCGTCCGGAGGAGCGTTTAGGGGACTTAGGGGAAGGATGGTGAACTTTCTTCTAAGTTCTCCTCTCAACTCTGGCAGGAAGGCTGGGGGCAAAGACAGGCCTCTTTGATGTAGGAATTCGGGGGGGGGGTTGGGTAGGATCCTAGCAGCCTCTCGCCCTTCCCACCTGAGCCCGAAGAGCAGGCTCCTTACACCCTGCGGCCTCAGTGCACCTCGTTCCTGCCACCTCCCTCTGCCTTCCCTCTTCCCACATACCACGTTGTATAAATATTTACACCCCCAGGCTGGCAGGAATCTTTCTCTAGCCACTTCCACGGTTTCTGGGAGAGCTTGTTCTCTCCCTGAACAGCTGCAGCAGATCTGGTTGCCTTTGGTCAGATGAGGGCAGGCCTGGGTTTGGGGGGCCCGTGGCCCCCGCAGGGTGGAGGGTGCAGTTGGCGGGAGAAATTCAGCTCGGAAGAAGTCACAGGGCTGTGGCAGAAATCCATCCTCTCTCTGGCTGCCTATGTGATGAGCCTCCAAGAGCTGTCTGATCCCTGCTCTGGCTGGGGAGGTGGGTCCTGCTTCTCAAAGGAACAGCTCCCCTGGGTGGGGTTGGTCCCTTTCTGGGCTGGGCACTGGGGGAGAGGTCTGGAGGATAATTCCAAAGCAAACTGGCTGGGGCTAGGACAAAAGAGAAACTTAGTTTACTTGTGAGCACGTTCCAGCTTATAAGTATGTCTGTGGCCTTTATTCTCTCTGAAGCAACCACCCCAGTTAGGAGCAAGAATCCCCTGGAGAATCTTCATGTCAGGCCTCTCCGGGCCTCCTGCCCCAGGCCACCTTCCCTCCCACCAGTCCCTGTTCAGTCCTTCCACCTGGGGGCTGGGGAGTGGAGAGGACGATGCTCCTTTCCGCGTCCTCCCTGGTGACCCAGGAACAGGAGTTTGCCAAGGAACGAGACTGTGTGTGGTACTTCTCCATATTCTCACGTAATTATTTGAGTCATAAGCCCAGCAGATTTTTTAGCTTCCTTGTGTGTGTCTCCTCTTTCTGTCCTCAGAGAGCGGGCTGCATAGCAGCAAGTTCCGCAACACAGGGCCCCATCTTTCTCTGGTCCTTTCGGGTTCAGTGGGTACCTCTGAGAGCCAGTCGGTGGACACAGAGCTCACCTCCCCTTCCTGTGCCTCAGTTTCTCCCACATCTGTGGGAGGTGATTAACCTGTGTTCCATAAAGCATTCCAAATTCAGCACAAGAACAGGTTTTTAGGAAGCAACATAGTGGTTTCATTTAACCCCCTTTTCTACGTATTGGGGTGTGTGTGACACGAGAGACCGTTCAGGTATCAGGCAGAGAAAAAATGTGTGTTTGGTGCTTGGGGGAGGCCGAGGAGAAGGAAGACAGGATTAAAAAGGCCTGGATTTCATATCCAAGAACTCCCCAAATTCAAACAGTAGAGCCACTGAGGATGGGGGTGTGTGGGATTGGGCAGGGGGTGCTGATGGGGCCAGGGAGAAGGGTACCCACACTTTGTGCCAGAAAGCAAACAACCAGGTTCGATCTCTCACTCTCTTGGAGGGCTCAGACCCCTTCTGGGAATGGGAGAAGAGCAGAGGTCAGAGGTGCCTGGATGAGATAGCTTGGTGTTCAGTGGGTAGAGAGCCCCCCTAAGGTGCGGTGGGAGGGGGCTGGGTTTGGCCTGCTGGGAAGGCACAGGGAGGAAGGTGGGGCAGCACAGCTCAGAAGCTGTGCAGCTGCGAGATATTCCTGCTTGCTGCCGGCCTGCCTGCTTCCCTGCCCCCCAAAGGTGAAACAAAACCCAAATAAAAGCCTGACCCGGCAGATATTAATACTCCAGAGCCAGGGCTGGTGTGCAAGCAGCCACCTCCCCCCTCCCTTGTGTTTCTATAAGCGGCTGAAATAAATTTAGCGAAACAACCCCACCCGTCTGAGGGCCTAAGATTTCAGAGCAGTGTGACTCTTTCCCCTGAAAGCCCCTGTTTTTCAGAGCCGAGAGCTTTTTGTTTAAATTCTCTTTGGGAATGGAATGCTCTCAATCTGAGATAATCATGGTCCTGCGGTCACCTACTCCTCACTGACAACTACGCCTTCCACACAGTATGGCTTGCTGGAAAGCTGATCTGCAGATGGGCTCCAGCTTCAAGTAGTCAACGCGATGGGGCTAATGCCTCGTTGGATCCACCGGGGTATTTATTGTAAGATTATTCTTCACAATGTCTGAATGTTCAGGCAGGCCCCTCCGCTGTCCGTCATGAGGGCAGCGGTTATGGCTGGCTAAGTCACTAAAGTAGAGAACCACTGACTGAGAGCCCACCGTGTGCTAGGTTCTGTTCCAGGCACCGCGGGTTGAGTTGAGAGCAGACAGAGCACACGTCCTCACGGGAAGGGAGATGTCAAAAAGGTAAATGACTATAAAAAAAAAACGCTTGCAACTAATGTTGTCCTTAATAGGAAAAGACTGAATGCTTTCCCCTAAGATTGGGATCAGGTGAGGGTGTCCACTCTCACTATGCCTAACCAATATTATATACCATAAGTCCTAGACGGGGCAATAAGGCAAGAAAAAGTAATGAAATGTGTGAGATTGGAAAGGAAGAAATTAAGCTGTTCCCTTTTGTGGATAACATAATTGTCTATGTTAAAAAAAACAAACAAACAAACACACAGGGGTGCCTGGGTGGCTCAGTCGGTTGGGTGTCCGACTCTTGATTTCCGATCAATCATGAGATTGAGCTCTGTGCTGGGGGTGGAGCCTGCTTGAGATGCTCTCTCTCCCTCCCCCTCTGCCCCAGCCTCTGCTCACGTGCATGCTCTTGGTCTCTCTGTCTCTCTCAAAAAAAAAACAAAAAACAAAAAACCCAACAACAAAAAAACACACAAAAAACAAAACCGAAGGAATCTACAAAAAAAGGCTTACGACTGAAGTGACTTTTGTAAGGTCAAAGGATATCAGGCCAGTACACAGAAAACTGTATTCCTATAAGCTAGTAATAAAAGGTTAGAAACTGAAATTAAGAGAAATATTATAATAGTTCCTCCAAATGGGGAAATAGTAGGTATAAATCTAACAAAACATGTATAGGATTTATATGCTAAAAACTACAGAACACCAGTTAAAGGAATCAAAGACCTCAATAAATAGACATACCATGTATGTGGATTAGAAGACTCTACACAGCAAAGATGTCATTTTTCCTGAATTGATCTGTAGATGTAATGCAATTCTAATAAAATTCCCAGTATGATATTTTTTTGTAGATATAGACAAGCTGATTCTGATTTTTTTTTTTAAGATTTTATTTATTTATTTGACAGAGAGAGAGAGAGCACAAGTAGGCAGAGCGGCCGGCAGAGGGAGAGGGAGAAGCAGACTCCCTGCTGAGTGGGGAGCCCAATGCGGGGCTTGATCCCGGAATCCTGGGATCATGACCTGAGCTGAAGGCAGACACTTAACCGACTGAGCCACCCAGGTGCCCCTGATTCTGAAATTTATATGAAACGGCAAAGTAACTAGAATAGGTAAAACAGTTTTGCAAAATAAGAATAAAGTTGGAGGAATTATACCACCTGATTTTAGGACTTACCATAAAGCTACAATAATCAAGACAGTGTAACACTGGCAAAGGAGTGAACACACACATCAAAGGAACAGAATCAAGAGACCCATATAACTACGGCAAACTGATTTTTGGATAGGCACAAACAATTCAATGGAGAAATGATAGTCTTTTAATAAACAGTGCTGGGACTGGACATGCATAGGCAAAAAAGCAAGCCTCAATCTAAATTTCCCATCATATATAAAAACTAATTCCAAATAGATCATAGATCTAAGTGTAAAACATAAAACTATTAAACTTTAGAAGAAGAGAGAATCTTAATGACATAAGGTCAGGCAAAGAGTCTTGGATGGGCCACTAAAAGCACCATCCACAAAAGATAAAACTGAAAAACTAAACATCAAAATGAAAAACTTCTGCTCTCTGAAAGATATTTTGCTCAGAGAATGAAAAGATAAGGTGCAGACTGAAGAAAATATTTGCAAATTACATATCCCACAAAGCAACTGGAGCCAGAATATATAAAGAACTCTCAAAACTCAACAGTAAGAAAACAAATGACCCAGTTAAAAACTGGGCAAAAGACTTGAACAGATACTTTACCAAAGAGGACACACAGATGGCAAATAAGCACACGAAAGATGTGTACATCATTAGTCATGAATGAAAGGCAAATTAACACCACTACGCACCTACTGGAATGACTAAAATAAAAAATACTGACAATTTTAAGTGTTCGTGAGGTTAAGTGATGTAGAGCAATCAGAAACTCTCATATATTGCTGTTGGAGATGCATGATGGTATATCCACTCTGGGAAGCAGTTTGGCAATTGCTTATAAACTTCCACATACACTTACCATTTGGTCCAGCAGTCCCACTCCTACTTACTTACCCTGGAGAAACAGGCACAGTGTTCACACAAAAATCTGCACACAAACGTTTACTGCAGCTGTATTCATAACGGCCCCAAACTGAAAATAATCCAGTGTCCTTCAATAGATGAATGGATAAACAATGGTGTACCTGTACAGTGAAACAGTAGTCTTCAATAAGATGGAATGAACTACTGATACATGCGACAACATGGATAAATCTGGAAGGCATTATGTTGTGTGAAATCATACATACTATGCGATTTTACTTATATGGCGTTGTGGAAAAGATGAAATGACAGTGTAGGGAACAGATCAGTGGTAGCAGACTAAAGGATGGGGAAGGGCCTGACTACAAGGGGGGAGCATGAGAGATGTTTTGGGAGTAATGAGCTGTTCTGTTTCCTGATCATGGTGGTGGTTACATCAGTCTATTGATGTTAAAAGTCTGTACACCAAATATAGGTCAGTTTTTCTGTATTAAATTAAAAAGTAAAAAAAATGGGGGTGCCTGGGTGGCTCAGTCGTGAAGCGTCTGCCTTTGGCTCAGGTCGTGATCCTAGGGTCCTGGGATCGAGCCCCATGTCGGGCTCCCTGCTCTGCGGGAAGCCTGCTTCTCCCTCTCCCGCTCCCCCTGCTTGTGTTCCCTCTCTCGCTGTGTCTCTCTCTGTCAAATAAATAAATAAAATCTTTAAAAAAAAAAAAAGAAAAAAAAATGTTACAGGAATGAATATATACTCATAAACTGAAATAACTACTCTGAAGGAAATGAACATGGCATGAGGACTTAAGAGAGAAGATAGATTCCTTGCCTTGTTGAGGGGAGGCGACTCCAAGAATGGTTGAGGAAGTGATGCTTGAGCTGGATTCTAAAGGATGATTTACAACTTACTTGGGCCAAAGGAAGGTCAATTCAGATAGAAGAAATAGCAAGTGCCAAGGCCCCGGGGCAGAAGGAAGTATTGTTCATTTTCATCTGAAACTGACCAGAGCACAGGGAATACCCTGGGGGGTGGGAGAGGCGGTGATGGGGAGGGAGGGGTATGAAACCCCAGGCTGGAACAGTAAGAGTCAGATTCTGCTGGACTGAGGCTATGGTTCTATTCTAAAAGAATGGGCAGCCAAGGGTTTTAGGCAAGTGTAACATAAGATCAGATCTAGGTTTTGAAAAAGATCACTGGGCTGCCCTAAGGAGAGGGGTTTGAGGGAGAGTGGGGATAGAGCCTAACTAAGTACACAGGAATCTTGGAGTTGGAAAGAACCTCTAAAACTGGGTTTCCCAGTTTGGGTACTATTCACATTTTGGGCCAGATACATTTTGTTGTGGGCGCTGCTGGGTGGATGTTTAGCAGGATATCTGAACTCTACTTTCTAGATGCCAATAGCATTGACCTTCCTTCCCCCAATAGTGACAACCAAAAGTGTATCTAGACACTGTGAAACGTTTACTGGGGGGTGAAATCCCGCCTGGTTGAGAACTACTGCTCTAAAATAAACAAATCCAGTGTTTCTGGCTTCATAATAGAATCATCTGAGGAGCTTTGAAGATACAGATGCTGGGCCTCACCCCAGACCAACTGAAGTGGGATTTTTGGAGGTGGGGTGGGATGGGGTGGGAGAGGGCATCTGTGTAGTTTTAAAACCTCCCCAGATAATTCTGCTCAGGGTGATGGTTGAGCACCACCTGTCCAGCCCAACGCTCTCCATCTACAGAGCAGAACAGGGAAGCCCAGAGTAGAGAATGACCTACTGAACTAGAAGCAAAGGAGCTCTAGAATCCAGAGTCCTGACTCCTAGACCAGTGCTCATTCCATTAGACTCTGTCACCTCTTAACAGCTGCACAGAACATGCCCTGGGTGAGCTGCGGAAACCCAGCCTCCCTGAATGACCAGCTCTGGCCTTCGGAACCTCCCAGGGCTAAGACTGCCATCTCCCCTTGTGGCAGAGCCCAAGCCCTCCCTTTCTGCCACCGCTGGAATCTCTGTGATCCTTTTACTCCCAATGCCAAATGTAGGGTAACCAACATGTCCAAGTGGTTTCAACGGCAAGGTTCAGTAATGACTGAAAAAATGTATTATGTATTGCATACCTACTCAGGACCTACTCCTGAGGCCCAGGTAATAGAGCTGCCCTCATCCTCAAGGAGTTTCTAGTCCAGTGGGAATAAACAGGTAATTCCCATAAAATGCAGCAGAAGGCTGGAGTGCTGTAGGCTGCAGTGGCACTGCTGGGAGAGAGGCGGTTTGCCTGCTCAGGGAGCTGCCTGAAATCCCCACAGAAGAACCTCTTGAGCAAAGCCCCTGGGAGGGCTGCGCAGCAAACACCAGCAGCTGCTAGAGCAGTTTGGAGTGACTGGAGGGCAAGGGGCTGTCTGAGCCGAGCACTGGCTGGAAGAGTTTAACCTTCCCCACCATCCCAGAAGCTAAGGGACCTGCTCAAGGTTGTGCAACTGGTGACTCGCTGGCAGAATTGGGCTTCCCATCAAAGTTTAGGTGGCTCAAAACTCAGCAGCTTTCTTGTGTCCCTAGGCAGGCCCAGGCAAGAAAGGAGGAGGTGAAGCAGTGGTCAAAGGTGTTAGCTGACCACTTCATGGATGTTTATACTGAAGAATCCTTTTGCAAAGTGAATACTCCCCCAAAGGTGTTTTGTGGTGTAACAAGGCCCCCAAGAATGGTTTAGTTTACATACAATGGCTAGGCAGACAAAAGGGTTCTGCTGGGCTTGAAACTAAGCACTTTATCCGCCAGTTTTAGGCAGGACTATTATCCATATTCTAGAGATGAGAAAACAGAGGCTTTGGTCAGGGTCTCGAAAAGTCACACAGCTAGAAAATGGCAGAGCCAAGATTTGGATCCAGATGGCCCAACTTCAAAGTCTTGGACCAATGATTCCCAAACCCCTAACATCTGAGTTACTAGCAGGAAATTACTAAAAATGCAGATTCCTGACCCCACCTCAAAGCATCTGATTCACTGGGCCTGGGTCCAAGCCGAGGAATATGCATTCCACGGGCACTACAGGTGAACTCTAAACCAGGTTAACTCTCAGGCCGCACTTGGCCCTACCTCCGTCTCCTCTAATCCAGAGACTTTGCAGCTGTCCCAGGGTCTCAGGTAGAAGAATTTGGGGGGTGGGGAGCAGGGCGAGACCCAATCCAAAGAATTTGGGGGTTTATGCAAATGACCTGAAGCCAAAGGGCTCTGGAATGGCAGGTCCTGTGTTGCAACCAGGGCCAGGAGGGGATCCCAGGGAGGGGTGCCTTGGAGCGTGCTGGTGACGGTGATCAAGGCCGGGCCGACTAGGGGCTCGGCGCCCCACTCTCTCACCTGCTGCGAGGTGCGCCCAAGGTCCAGATTGGCCCATGAATATGTCTGTCGCGCTTCCCTAATTCCGAGGACTTTCACTTTCCTCCTTGAACAAAACCTAACACCCCCAAGCCAAAAATACCTGGTTAGCCCCTCCTCGAGAGGGTATCGGCTCCAAGGGAGCAGGGAGGGCCCGAAGTCGGGCCTTGGACGGGGGACCCGGCCGATCGCCTCCCGGTCGGAAGCGGCAGTGCAGGTGAAGGGGCGGCTTCTCCCGACACCGCGCGAGTTAGGAACCCGAGCGCCGACTGCCTGGCGAAGGAGGCGGGGAGGGCGGCGCACGGCTTTTGCCCGGCTTCCTGCCGCGGCCGGGGCTCGAGGCCATCCCCGCCGCCATCGGGCACCTGCAGAGCACGTCCGGTCGAGGCGCGCCGGCTCGGGCCCCCGGACTCCCAGCCCTCCTCGGCCCTGCTGGACGCGGCTCCCCGGCCCGCCGGGTCAGCGAAGGGTTAAGGAGGCTCGCTCCCTCCCCCCGGCTCCCTCACCCTTGGAAAGTCCCCGAAATGACGTTTCAACCCAACAATTAAAAAAGAGTTTAATTATAGAGACAGGCTCTGGGAGCTGGAACAAACTCGGTGGGTCGGCGGGGCCGGTAAACAACTCCGGAGCGAGCGGGCCAGGCCGCCGCCCCGCGGAGCCCTCGCCCCGGGAGCGGGGGAGGGGAGCGGCGGCCGGGAGTTGGAAAAGCGGAGGAAATTCGAGGAATCGGCGTTCTTTTGGTGTGGGGGGGGGGTGGAGAAGAAAAAGAAAAAAATCCTTTTTAGCTAGCCTGCGGCGCCGGGGCCGCGTGACGGTACTTCTGGCCGGTCCTGCAGCCGCGGGGGGAAAAGCGGGTGCGAGCCGGGCCTGGGGCCGGGAAGGCGGCCCCACCCGCTCGGGGGCCCCCTTCTCCCTCGCTTCTCCACCCCTCCTCCGTCTCCCCAGCAGAGCTTCGCGAACCCTCCAGAGTTAAAGACCAATGGGCCTTTTTTGGTGGTGGAGGGGGAGGGAGATAAAAAGACGAAATAGCTTCACATCAGGACGCAGACTAACCTTGTGGTTTTAACGCTCAGCCTGCTCTGTCCTGAAATCTGGAACTCATTACCTCATCACCAAGAAACTGCACGAGCCCCCCCACCCCTTCTTGGAGCTGGGGAAAGGAGCGAGCAAACACCCCTTTAAGAAAGAAACCTACACTTGTATGATTTAAATTAAGGTGGATGGAAGTTATTTCCCTTTCTGGCGCTTGCCAGATTTCATGAAAAGCTGAAAAATGGGATCAGGGGGAGGGAAGCAACAGGAGGCTGGACGGCCTCAGAAGGAAAGGCAAGGGGCAGCAGCCGGGTTAAAAACGGGGGCCATCATTTTAAGTCTGAGGGGCCAAATAAAAGCAGACCGGGCTGAGATCACGTAGATTCAGGGCTGCAGCAAAAGTTGTGTGTTTCGCAAAGATGAAAAACAACCGGTTCCTTTTCGTTGTGATTTGGAAGGTTTCCCTGGGTCTGCTCGGAGGTTGACGAATACATCAGAAATGTAATAAAAATGCGTGTGTGTGTGTGTGGGTGGGTGGGTGGGTGGGTGATGGTGGTGAGAGCGCGACTGGAGCGCTCTGCTCCGCCCGCCCTGTCCTTTCCAAAGAAACGTGCTCATAATGGGGTGACCTAATTACATCGCAATGGAACCCGCTCTTAGCCACTCAGCGCTCGGGGTTTCATAACAGACCCGGCGGCCTCGAGTGCTGGGAAGAAACGTGCGAGGGCCGAGGAGGCGGCCAGGCACGCGGGGAAATAGGAAAGAAACACAGCCCCGCGATTTCCGCCTGGGTCTTCGCTCCAGCACCGGGGGGGGCCGTGGGCGACACGTTAACAACTTTTTATTCGGGTGGTAGGAGAGGCATCCGAACCTAACAGTAAATATATAACAGTCTTAAAAGGAGTAATCTATTGGGGGGGCTTTCGGTTTCGAGGGTCCCATACCCTCCTCCCCCCATCCCGCCAAAACAGCACAGCGTGACAAGCCATATGTTCCGTTCCCGTGGGGGCGGGGGAGAAGCAACAATAAGTTAAAAGTGTCGCCTCCCCCATTTCTTTACCTTCATTCTTGCCAAAGTAACTTTTTTTTCATTGTTCAAGCGTCTAGGGGTGTGTGTGTGCCCCCTAGTTCAGAGCGCGCGTGGAAAAGTTGTGCGTTAATGATTTTTTTTTTAATTGGGCGGGGGGGCCGGACTAGAAAGGGCATTCATAAGGGTTCGGGTTTTCTTTATGAAAAACTTTAAGGTTGGACGCGTGAAATAAATCCCACTCCCAGGCCTGTTAAACAAACAAGCAATCGGCCCGGGCGGTGGTCTTTTCCGCGCGCGCCCCCCTCCCCGGCCCCCGCCGTCCGGCTGCAAAGCGCAGGAGCGTGTAGACGCGTGCGGCGCGCGAAATCGTGCTGCGCTCGCCCCGCCGGGCCGGGTACTCCCCGGAGAAAAAGTCTCCCTAGTTTCCCCCACCACTCTACCTCCGCCACGTCCTGCTGAAAAAAACAAAACAAAAACCCGAAACCCCTAGACCTGAATGCTTTGTGCGTCCCAAATTCCCGATCTCTTGGCCCTGCCCGGTTGCGGAAGGCAGCCGAATGAGGACGAGAACTCGGGAAAAGACTAAGTTGTGGGGGGCACTTGGAGAAGTTTCAGGGGGAGATCTGCTCAAGATGGAAACCGCAGCCCGGGCGCTAAGGACGGGCTTCTGCTCCCGCTTGCAAAAAGAGAAAGTCGAGCCGGCCTTCCTGCCCGACAAAAAAACAACAACACAACAACAACAACCCCGAAGAGGGTGGAATGAGTGATGTCACAGAGCCGCGCTCGCAGCCTGACAAAGGGGGGGCGCACCCCTCCCCCTCCCGCCGCTCGGCCCCAGAGAGGGGCGCCCCAAGCGCCGGGTAGCCGAGCGAGCGGACTCGAAACTTTTCCTCTTTAAGAAAAAAAAGTTGTGCGCGGCTCCCAGTTGGTTTTTTTTTTTTTTCTTCTTCTTCGGCTTCTTTCCTCGTTTCCCCTCCCCCCTCTTCCTTTTGAAAGTTTCTTTTTTTTTTTCCCGGAGTTTGACCGCATGGCTGATTCAACTTCAGTGTCAATCAACTTTTTTTCCCTCCTCTTCCTCATTTAAATAAGTTTAAAGCTCCTCCTCCCCCAGCCCACCAAATCTGAACTTTATAAATTGGGCTTCGCGCGCCGCGGTCGAGGAGAGTCAGAAAGGCGAGGGGCGCCGGGAGCAGGCGTGTGGGACTCCAGACCGGAGAGCCGGAGGCTGCGCCTTCCCCGCACCGAGACCTTCGCGACACACCAGATCCCCATCCCTGCCCCGTGCGAGCGCCCAGGATGACCACCACCCTCGTGTCTGCCACCATCTTCGACTTGAGCGAAGTTTTATGCAAGGTAAAGTGGGGCGGAGGGTTTGCTTCTCAAAGTTTTCTTTTTCCTTTTTTGCCTAAAGAAAGAACCCCCAAAAGTTCAGGTCTTGGGAAGCAGGGAGGAGAGGAGGCTAGGCGAGATGGGTCTTTTTTCTGCCTCATTTCCCCCCCAGTTTGAAGGAATTTGGCGCTCTCCACCCAGAGTTTCAACAGGTCCTCGCGGCGACTGCATAGGCATTTGGAGACCAGAGTTTTGGGGGGCGAAGTTTGAGTGGCGGGGCTGCCCTGGGGACACGGGGCATTGGCGGACTGGGGCAGTTTTGTGGTGGTTCTGTCGTCCCTAATGTGCTGCTTGAGCCCGGTTTCGCTGATACGCTAGGGTTGCCCGGTGCGCGCTCCGGGTCTTCCGCCGCCGGGAGGGGTTCGAGCCTCTCCAGCCACACCGCCAGCCTGTGGGATCAGCAGGGGCTCCCCTTGGGGAAGTTGAGTCTCGGGAGGACGCTTTGCTGGGAGATTTCTTCCTCTGATGGGGAAGGGCTGGGAATCTGCGAGAAAAAGGCCGAGAGTTGTGATTCAAAAGGATGTTGCAAAAACGGGTTTGCAGTGGGGCTTCCTTCTGTGATAGCCTACAGTGCTGCAAACTTTGGGGTGAAAATGGGACTAGGGTTGACCCCTTTACCTGTTTTCCGAGGGGGTGGGGGGACTCGACAACAAAATGCCGGCCTGAGCTCAAGGGGCTCTGCGAGGAAGGATTTAATGGGGCCTCCTTAAGTGGTGTAGCTTGCCAGCCGGTGTGGAAAAAAAGCAGGTTTTAAATACCGAATGTTCCAGGAGTGTGGTTTAGGTGTACATAGCAAAAGCCAATGGTTGTTAAATTATTTTCGCTCCCTCTCCCCAGTTTGAAAGCGGGGAGCTGCTAGGCTACTTTTAATTGCTAAAGTGTTTGCCTTCTTTTAAACACGTTGGGTCATGTCGCTTTCTTTTCTCAGCTTGCTTCTCCAGTCGGCCCAGCTTTCAGGGCCCCAGGGCTGCAGGGCTGGGGTGCAGGGAGGCCGAGGAGCTGAAGAGTAACATCAAAAAAAGTTTGAATTTCAGCTTCCTTCCCTCCTTGCGCCTTCCCAGACTCCTGTTGCCCTGGCGGCTCCCTGAGCTCTCCTGCACTTTTCCTTCTCTTCCTGGCTTTCTCGCTCTTTGATCTGTTTCTCTTTTTCTCGCCCTCTGCACACCCCCCCTCCCCCACAGGACTTTTTAAATGAACCTTATTGTTGGGAACCGGCTCTCAACTTGGTTCCTGTAATCCGCTCCATGGGGTGGTTGCTGTTACAGATTCCCGATCCCCTGCAGCTGATCCTAAGGGACCAACTTTAGAATTTGCACAATGACACCCACATGGGCTGGGAGCCAACTCCCAGGTCCCTGGCTTGCACCCTTTCCAAACCTTGGGTACAGATTGGGCAGGTGACCAGGGGCCCATTGGAACAGAAACCTGTTTGTGGTGGCTCTGCTTCCCTCCCCCCAAGTCCACTATTGACTAGGAGGCGGGTGGGGGGATTTGGTGCCTTCCTTTTCCTTCCCACCTGCAGCTTTGCGTTAAAGATTAAACACTGGCGCTCTTATCCAAGCCTGCCCTTGCAGCCAGAAGACTAACAGCAAAGGCATCTTCCCAGCGGAGGGGGTGGGGTAGGCTGAGAATGGTGGGGAGATCATTGTAGAAGGCACCCCTTCCCCAAGCATGGGGCAATGCATTTTGTTTTTAGGAATCCCATCCTTCCTTCTCCTGGCCCTGACCCCCATCCCTGACCTAGGATTTCTCCTGCCCATTTCCTCTCCCCCACCCCTCAGCAAGATAAAGGCAGTCTGGAAACCTGTTGCCAAAGGAAGGGAACACCTCTGAAGGAGGAAGTGGAGAGTCTTAGGCCAGGTTGTGTGTGTGTGTGTGTGTGTGTGTGTGTGTGTGTGTGTGTGTGGTCAATGAAGGAGGGACTGATTAAAAGGGAGGTACTCAGAGTCTCCTGAGGTTTACCTGGTTTTGTTAGGCGGAAGGGGAATCTGGAGAAGTCTTGAGTTGTGTGAGATATTTTGAGCTGAGGAATCTATTTGGGAGGTAAAGAAGTTAGATTTTGTGGATGAACGAGGTCCCTTTGGGGACAGGATATGGGGGCACAGTCCAGGGGTGTGCAGGGAGTAGGTTGCATGTATAACAGTTTCATACCGGTGGGGATTTTGTGGTTTCTTCTGTAGGGGGCCAAAGTAAAATTAGGTGACTGGTCGTAGGGGGAGGAGTGGGAGGGGCTTGCCAGGACAGAGTTAGAGATGGTTCCTTAGAGACACAAGGGGCATTTTTGCTTGTGGAGGGGCTGCCCTTAGCGGTCCCTTTCTTGGCCCTGGTGGATGGCCTTTGTCACTAACCACGCTCTCTTCCCTCCCTTCCCTCCAGGGTAACAAGATGCTCAACTACAGTACTCCCAGTGCAGGGGGCTGCCTGCTGGACAGGAAGGCGGTGGGCACCCCTGCCGGTGGGGGCTTCCCCCGGAGGCACTCAGTCACCCTGCCCAGCTCCAAGTTCCACCAGAACCAGCTCCTCAGCAGCCTCAAGGGCGAGCCGGCCCCAGCTCTGAGCTCCCGCGACAGCCGTTTCCGAGACCGCTCTTTCTCAGAAGGGGGCGAGCGGCTGCTGCCCACCCAGAAGCAGCCGGGGAGCGGCCAGGTCAACTCCAGCCGCTACAAGACGGAGCTGTGCCGGCCCTTCGAGGAGAACGGCGCCTGTAAGTACGGGGACAAGTGCCAGTTCGCGCATGGCATCCACGAGCTCCGAAGTCTGACCCGTCACCCCAAGTACAAGACGGAGCTGTGCCGCACCTTCCACACCATCGGCTTTTGCCCATATGGGCCCCGCTGCCACTTCATCCACAACGCCGAGGAGCGCCGCGCCCTGGCCGGGGCCCGGGACCTCTCCGCTGACCGTCCCCGCCTCCAGCATAGCTTTAGCTTTGCGGGGTTTCCCAGTGCCGCCGCCACCGCCGCTGCCACGGGGCTGCTGGACAGCCCCACATCCATCACCCCACCCCCCATCCTGAGCGCTGATGACCTCCTGGGCTCACCCACCCTGCCAGATGGCACCAATAACCCCTTCGCCTTCTCCAGCCAGGAGCTGGCGAGCCTCTTTGCCCCTAGCATGGGGCTGCCTGGGGGTGGCTCCCCAACCACCTTCCTCTTCCGGCCCATGTCCGAGTCCCCTCACATGTTTGACTCTCCCCCCAGCCCTCAGGATTCGCTCTCGGACCAGGAGGGCTATCTGAGCAGCTCCAGCAGTAGCCACAGTGGCTCTGATTCCCCCACCTTGGACAACTCAAGACGCCTGCCCATTTTCAGCAGACTTTCCATCTCAGATGACTAAACCAGGGTAGGGAGGGACCCCCTGCCTACTCCACCCCTCCCATCCTTACCCTCACCTCCCTACCCATCTGATTCCCGACAACCCCTGCATTAACAAGGTTAAGCTCAACCCCTTTCCCCCAGAACCTTGGAATGCCCCCTCCCTCTCCCCCCTCCTAACCGCCCCCCCCCCCAACATAAGGACAAGTCAATTTGTCAATAGCTTCCTCTGGCTTGAAACCCCCCTCTCCTCGATTTTATAGCCCACTTACCACGCATAACAGACAAGTCCCATATTTGTCAGTAGATGCCTTCCCTCCCTCCCCCCTCCCGCCCCCGGCTTAAGCCTTAAGTGCCAAATCACAAAAGAAAAAGCAGTAACAGTTTACAGAAGCAATTTAGTGCCTTGTAATCTAACTTTGTCACTGTGACTACATTACCTCTTCAGCGCCAGAGGGCACCCGTGGGCCTCCCGGAGCCTCTGCCCATGGGGAGGGGGAGGGGACCCAGAACCAGCAGCTCCCTCCACTGGCGACCCAACTGCACCTTCCCTTATTTCAGCCTCCCACACACTTCCTCCTCCCTCTCCCCACGACCCCCACACCCCTCTTGGGAGAGTTGTTGCCAGACTCGGGTTTTTGGGGAAACCTATCTTGACATTCAAAACCTTTTTCTTCCCGACCTGAACCTCTGTTGACTAATCTTGCCTGGGTTCGTGTAGGTCTACAGGAAGGAAGACTGAAAAAGTGGATGAAGATTGTGACATAAGTGGGACTTTGTGATTTAATTTTTTTTCTTTTTTTTTTTAAGTGGGGAGGATGGGGAAGCTAGATGGACTATGAGAGACTTGATTTTGGTGCTAAAGTACCCCAGTTCATATGTGACATCTTTAAACAAAAAAATAACAAAAAAATGAGAGAAAAGCTAAAAAAACATGTAAGGGGTGAGCAGTTAATGGTATTCATTCCACATACAATATCTGTGTAAAACGATTTCCTGTAGAAGTAGCTTTAATGGTTTTTGCTCTAGAATACCGTAGGTCTATCCTTAGAGCACTCACGCCATGCTTTTTTCCCTGGGTTTTAAACTTCATATAACTTTCAGAAATTGGAGAGCAAAAATTTTGCTTGTCACTGCACATCAATATAAAAAAGCTTATTTAACTTATCAAAACGTATTTATTGCCAAAACTATGCTTTTTTTTGTTAATTTTGTTCATATTTATCGGGATGACAAATCCATAGAATATATTCTTTTATGTTAAATTATGATCTTCATATTAATCTTAAAATTTTGTGACGTGTCTTTTCCTTTTTTTTTCCACAGTTTTAATATATTATTCTTCAACGACATTTTTTGTAACTTTACACTTTTTTTGGTTATTTTATTTTAAAAAAATGAAAAATTAATTTAAAAAAATGCAAAAAACTGTTGGATTATTTATTTTAGAAATTTCCCCCCTTTGTGTTGGACTGCAAATTGAGTTTCTTCTTCTTTAGGCCTTTTCACAGCTAGGACTGAGAATGTATGTCAAAGTTCTGTGACAGTACAGAAGGAAAACAACTTTTATGTATGGCTTCTAAAAGGGAAAAAAAAAAAAAGAAACCCTTTGACTTCCACGTGCCCATCTCAAGACATTCCGATTGCAGATTTGAGGTTCTGGATTCCAGGTTTGGAGTTTTCCAATGTTAATGCAAACAGAACTGGCACACACATTAAGATGAATGTAATTATTATTCCTCTTGCTGGTCACTACCGTCGCTTTCTATTTCTCTTTCTTTGTGTGAATTTATTTAAAAGAAAAAAACTTTTTGTAACGACTATTTGCAGTTTAAAAATCAATAAACCCCGTTTTTTTCAAGAAACACGGATGGTGAAGCTGGTTTTACTTGGTTTGTGGTTTTCCTTTGCCTGTAGGTTTGTCCTTTGTATAGGATGCAGGTGCTGGGGAGGAGGAGGGGCACTGGTGGTTTTTTTTCCTCCTCCCTCTGTTGATGCCGGAAGTCTCAGCGTAGAGGGGATGGGATGGAAATTCATTGCAAAGGAGCCCGCATTTCTCTGTTATCTTCCCAGTGTGTTGGTTCTTGACAGTGGACCAGCCTTGGGCACCCGGGCAGCTTTGGAGGGACTTCGGAAAAGCTGAGGCCCGTGGTTTTCCAGTCTTCTGTCTGTGGTGATTGGAGTACCAAAATGGTGGAGGTGGAGCCTAGCACATGGTACTCCAGCCAGTTCGGGTTTGAGTGGGCATGATGAAGCATTGGCGGCTTTGAGAGGAGCATCTAAGATGGTCAGGGGCCCAAACCAGAGCCCTGGGGATGGGGGTGGTTCCTCCTGGAGCTGACACGCACTTCTGTATCTGGAGGGCAGTTAGGGGGAAGTGGCCATTAAACCGGTCAGTCATAACAGGAAGTCCTCAAGAGTTTCCACCACCTTAGTCTCATTATGCTCCCGACGCCATGCAGAATAGGTGGGTTGTCATCTTGGGGAGAGTGGGGGTCCTCTTGGCTAGAAGCACTGCAGCCAAGGCCAGATGACCACTGGGCTGGATCCTACTGAAAACCCTGAGTCTGGTTCTTGAGAGCAGTTCTTCTTTGGGGAGGCAGGGATGGGTATTGCTTTTGGAGGCTGCCTTTGGTTCCTTGCACTCGGTAAATTGTGGGGGTGGGAGGAAGTAAGTTGAATTTCCACCTTGATTCCACCTGGCCTCTCCCAAAGGCAGTTTGGTCTGCAGCAGACATTGGCTGAGCTGTCCTTGAGGCTTGAGAAGACCTACCTTATCTACCCTGTCAACTCTTACTTCCCTGGCCAGCAGGTTCCTGTGGGGGCGGGGGGCAGATGCACGAGGGAGAAAAAGGGATAACTACCTTTCCTAGGGCAGGGGGTGCTGGTGGAGGTAGGGGAAAAGCACCCGTCCTTGGGACTGGAGTGAACCTAGGCTGGTTGTCCCTGAAGGAGGGAATGAGGTGTGTGTGTGTGTGTGTGTGTGTGGGGCGGTGATGGTGGTGGTTGGGGGCATGTGATCTTCCTCACTGACTAAAGGCAAAAAAGACATTTAATTGTTTACCTTGAGCTCATTCCCTGTAGGCATAGATGAGCATATGGCAGACATCCTTCTAGTTCTTCAGCTCATGGTGACACTGTTTGGGTTCCCAGGAGCTAAGCATACCCATGGGCCTCCCAGGAATTGCTTCAGCAGGAGTTGGTCCCTTGAGTGATACCAAAGGTAGAAGCATTGACTCCTGGAGGGTGGGGGTTGCCTGTACAGGCAAGGGGAGGCTCCCATGGCCTTGGGAAGCTCCCTGTCCCCAAGCCTTGACCCTTTACCCCACCTAAGTGTCTCCATTGGAACCACACAGGCTGGGATTGCAGCTGCTCAGGCCCACGCTCAGTTATTACCATAAAGTTGGATTTTCTGCCATCTAGGTCTTTAAGGTAGAGAAGGAGATAGGTTCAAAGCTGTGTGGGAAAGGAACTATCAGGAACATTTTGGGCCCTTTCTTCCAGGATGTTAGAAGATGGAGGGGCCTGTGCTCTAGGCTGCTGAGGGTCCAGGAAGGTGTGAGCCCAGACCTGGCAGGAGACCTCCATCCCTGAGCTCCTCTGCAGCAGGGAGGTCAGGAGCCATGTAGGGATGGCTGGAGGTAAGGCCTACACCAAGGGCAGTAGAGCAGGAAAGGCCAGTCTGCCTTTGTCAGCGAGGTCCTTGAGCACAAGGACTACTTCCCCACTTCCTGTCCCCAACCTTGGGGCGTCTCTGGTTTGGGGGCCCACATGAGGGCAGGGCCTCCATGGCTGTTGACTTGGTAACCCGCGGTCTGACCCTTGGCTACAGGTCTTCTTCCCTGGAGCAGCAAAAAGAAATGAGCTATTTTGGCCACTGAGCAATGACTTACTTCTCTGGGCCAGGAAGCCTCATTTCAGGAGGAATGTTGGGGTCCTCCTGTACCTCACTGGCACTCTGGGGAAAGGAGGACCTTCGAGAGAGCAGGGAGCAGACATGAGAGAGGTTTTGCAGCTCATTGGATCGTGAAGCCCTGGTTGCGAAAGGGACGGAGAGAGTCGTGGCTGGAGGAAGCTTCCATGGCATGGAGGAAGAAGGGAGATGGAACACTTTGTCCTGGGTTCAGATCCCAGCTCCCTTTGTGTTGGCTGTGCCTTGGGCAGGTGACTCAACCTTGGATTTCTCATCTATATCTCAAGAGGTGACTGACGATCAAGTGAACGGTTAGCAATGGCAGCTCTTCATAAGTGGCAGGTGGTCAGAACTTCGTGTGCGTGAGCTTGTTAAATGCTCACATGACCCCGTTAAATGCTCACGTGACCCCATGGAGGTGGCACTTCTCTCATTTCCATATGGAGGAATTGGGGTGCAGAGGAGTTCACTAATTGGTCACATAGCTCGTGGCGTTGGGATTTGAACCCAGGCAGGCCAGCTCCCTGATTGCGTTTCACCACCATGTCACCGGCTGGCGGCTGAGTACATTTGGCACAGTCCCTGGCACATAGTAACTGCAAATCGACCAGTGTCAGTTCCCGTCTCCCTTGGCCCCTGGAGACTTTGTAGGGGCGCAAGAGGCAGACAGTTGGATTAGATGACTCTGCACACACCCCTTCAGTGTCATGATCTCATGTACCACGCGGCCTGGGGTTGGCCTGTTTGGAGGACAGTGCCTGGGAGGAGGGGCAGGCCACTTGGACTTTCCCCCTCTCTGCCTGCCATGGGGTGGCTTCTGTTAATGATCAACAGAGCAAAGGGTGCCCCAGGGCCACCTGGGGAGTTGGCCTTGTGCCCTTCTTCCCCTGGGATCTCACTCCCCTGCACGTAGCCAACCATTTAATCACGTCTGGCTGGACTGCCTCAAACAGTGCCTGAATTTAGATGGGGCGGGGCGGAGCTGGGGAGACTACCCAGGCTCCTCACCGCCCCCTGCTGCCTTGCGGATGGCCCTTCTCAGGCCGGCTTCTGGTCTGCTGGGCACAAGCAGGGACCCCAAGAGTTGCAAAGCAGAACAAAACCTTGGCCATCAAGCCAGCACTAGGAGTCCCTGTAGTGCCCCACGTTTTGGTGGGTAAACCTTGGATTACAGGAAACCTTCTGGCCTAAGGGCCTACGGTGCTTTTGCAGGAGTCACAAAGGGTTATATCTGAGTTACTGTTGTGGGAAACTAGTCTCCGAGGAGCCAGGGCAGGGGCTGTCCACATGGCGGGCCAGGTTCCTTCCTCCCGCCCGTGAGAGCCAGCTGCTGGGCAGGGGGCGAGGATGCTCCCACCACGTTTAGGCTGTTTGCAGTCATTTTGACATGTTGGCGAAGGCCAGGTCTCAAGGTACAGAGCCAGGAGTGACAACCATACCTGCGCCATCAGCTTGGGGTACAGTGACAATAAATATTGTCAGTGGCCAAATCTGAGGCAATTTTCTCACCCCCCGGGGCCGGTCAGGTAGCTGCCCGCTGACTCCCACTCGTACCTCAGAGAGAAGGAGGTCATGACCACATGGGACGGAGTTCATTTCTGCCCACCCCACTGCTCCAGGGGGACGGGAGGCTTTGCTGCCCCGGGTGAGGAGCTGGTTTTGGCGTCAGAGGGCCAGCCATGGGTTCAAATCCCTGCTCAGGGTCAACCTCACTCTGTGATGTCTGGCTAAAAACTTAGCAAGCAGCTTAGAGCCCCAGCTTCCTCATTTGCAAGATGGGATGAGAACGACAAGACGATGGTAATTACATCTAGTTCAATGGGTAAGCTGCCATGTAGTCACACAATGGAATATTATACAGCTGTATAAAAAACAAATGACTAATAAACACAGCAACATGGATGAATGACAAAAACATAAAGTTAAGGGAGCAGGGCGCCTGGGTGGCTCAGTCGGTTAAGCAGCCAACTTTGGATTTTGGCTCAAGTCATGATCTCAAGGTCGTGGAATCAAGCCCTATGTCTTAATCTGTTTGTCCCTCTTCCTTTGTTCCTGCCCTCTGCTTGCTCTCTCTCTCTTAAAAATAAATAAAAAAATCTTTTATTAAAAAAATGTAAAAACCCCATAAAGTTAAGGGAAAGAAACCAACCAGTCCAAAAGAGTGCATGTCGTATAAGCCCATTTATGTGAAGTTCATAAGCGGGCAAAAGTGATCTACAATGACAGAAATTCCATTAGAAGATAGAGTTCATATGCACCAAAGCTCATGGAGCTACATGCTGAAGAATTACACACTTTACTGTGTGAAAGTTACACATAAATGTAAACACTTATAGCATTGTTATAAGTAGTCCTACAGATTCAGGAAAAGTGAAATTCATCAAAAAAAAAAAAAAGAAGAAAAAATAAAATGAATACCTGGCCTGTTATAGGCACTCAGTACACCGTGGCTGATTTTTATAATAGCCACGACCTGAGGATATCAGTCCTGTTCCCCTTCCCTCGTTATAGAAGGGGGGAATGGGTTCAGAGCAGCTGAAAAACTTGCCTAAGTGAAGTGGGATTTGAATTCGGGCACATTGGCTTTTAAGCCCACACAGTTGCCCACTACCCTGGATGCCCCTCAGTGCACAGGTGTCGCTTCCTGAGAAAAGCTCAATACACAGTAATCCAGACGCAAGCAAGCTAATTAGTAAATTAAAAAATTTGATTAGTAAATATAGTCATCCGCATTTAGGAAAGAGTTTTTCACTTTGCAGATTCAAACTTAATCTCCCGTGGCTAGTTGGTACCTCCCACACTTCGTGTGAGGTAGGGAGAGGCCAAGTTGGAGCCTGGCTGAGCTCTGTCTGAGGGGTTGGAGAGAGGAGAGCGTGGCTGGGCAGGCCAGCATCCCTGTCCTGGGATTCACCCACGTGGCCTGCCTGCCCAGGCCCATCTCTCTCTAAGGCT